TAAGATTAATAATCGTTGCTCCTGATTGCAAACACCCCATCTTTAAGGTGATGTATCTAATTTAAACCTAGAATGTGTCAGTCTCTAGCATGCATCTGCTTAAAACGATTTGCCTGTCATTCTTTAACAAAAAATTTTTTTAAAAATCATGAACACCCATCTGCACCTTCCCCTGCATCTAGTCCATCAGTAGCCTGGGTTAGTTTGACCTCCCAAATATTTTTCCAGTACATTTATTTCTCTGTCACCACTGCCACAACTGTAGTCTAAGCACCATCGACCTTTTTGCCTAATGCACCAAAGTAGCATCTAACTAGCTTTTAGCTCTTGGCCCTTCTAAACTGTTCTACCCATGTTAGCCAGGGTAATCTTTACAAAATATCAACATGATCATATCACTAGCCTACTTGAAACCTACTTTAATGATTTTCAATTAGAGTAAAATCCAGTATTCTAATGCCCTCTGTGATCTGGCCCTTACATACTTCTCCAGCTTCATCTTTTACCATTCTTCCACTTTCTCATTTATTCTACTACACTATCCAATCATCTCCTCAAGCTGCCAGCTCTTTTTAGCTCTAGGACAGTGCTGTCCAGTAGAATGTTCTGTGAAAATGGAAATGATCTATAGATGTACTATTCAATTTGCTAGCCACGGGCCCCATGTTGCTGTTGAGAACTTGAAATGTGGCTAGTGCAACTGAGAAGGTGAATTTTTAATTTAATTTAATTTTAATTAATTTCAATGTAAATAGCCACACATGGCTAGTGGCTACTGTATTCGACAGTGCAGTTCCAGAGCTTTTGCATGTACTCTTCTGCCTTCCCTGGAGTACTCTTTTACTCTCTCTAGCGAACTGCTACTCATCCATCAGGTTTCAATTTATTGCTTCTTCAGGGAGGCCTTCTCTGACTCATCAACCTAAATTAGGAAATCTTACGTTACTCTGTGTCATAGCCCTGGTACCTTTCCAATATAGTATATAATAATAGTGGGATTGTTCATTTTTCTGATTTAACAGTTGTTTCCCTACTTAAGAACAAGGATCATATCTAATTTGTTCCATTGTATAACCAGCTTCCAGGACAGTGCCTGGCATTTAAGAGGGATTGAGTAAAGCCATTGAACGAATGAACTTTCTGGAACATTTTCTTCATTTTTAGAGTACCACGGCTCTTAGAAAAAGTTCACAGGGTGGGTAGTCATGGTGACACTCTGAAAGGTGTCTCTCAGAGCACATACGCTCTAGGTGCTGGTGGAGGGGACACAGGACCTATACTTAGGTGTCTTGTCTTTGGGAAGTCCTAGGTGTCATTATATTCCTAATGTCCTTTTGGTGGTATAATGTAGGGTTTTTAGGGTATGTCTCACCTCATTTAGTTGGTCATATGTAAACTCAGACCTAAGTTCCTCAAATTACTAATATATGTATCATCCCAAGTAGTACAGTGCCTAATAATAGTAATTGCTCAAATGCTAATTCATGGTGCTTTGAAAGCTACAACATTCCGTATAATGGTGTAAGAGAAGCTCCTGCTTCAGAGGCTTGTGTGGATGATTCAGGGGGGTGAACCTGGCGGCCATTAGATAATGATTATGAATAAAAGTTATTTCAAGAGCCAGTTTTGAAAAGGGCAACAGATTCCCCCACCCACTCTCCTAAAGTTGTACAAATGACAAAAAAAAAAATTCAGGAGTGGAAAAAATTCTGACATGAAGGCCATGCAACTGATGATTTATTAGGTACTACCTTACATTTTTTTTTAACCTGAGTTGACTATAATTCTTTTCTTGATCTGAGTTAGCTGTGCCTGAAAAGATTGTTTTCTTTCCTAAAAGCCTAGCTATTTCTGGAAGATGGGAAATAATGGTGTTAGGCAATGGGGAATAGGAAAGAGAAAGTAAGCATGGCTATTTTTCGACACTGTGAGCTAATTGGAAAAGCAGATCCACGATGTGTAATTATACATTTACAGGTAGATTCTGAAGAGCCAGTCTTTGAGGCTGTCATCAACTGGGTGAAGCATGCCAAGAAGGAGCGAGAAGAATCCTTGCCTGACCTGCTACAGTATGTGCGGATGCCCCTGCTGACACCCAGGTATATCACAGATGTAATAGATGCTGAGGTAAGTCATACAGGACATGCAGGATCCAAATCCTTGACTAGCTTTTGTAAGCTTAGTATTGTGTATTCGAAATTGATTATTTTTAATGTAGACACAGAGTCTTCTG